TCCATATGCGGCCCCGGCGGTTTGCCGCGCAGGGGCCGCCGGCTCGCACCCGCCCGCCCACTTACCCAATCTCTCAAAATTTGAAAATCCCTACCGCCAACCTGGAATCCTGAAATGTCCACTAGTGGGCGGTAGGGACCAGGTTGACGACCCATGGTGTAGATGGTTGGTAACGGGAATGGGCAGTAGTCAAAGGTTTACCTGTGTTAGCGCAAGTGCCCAGCCGAAAAGAGTTCCAGGCACTGGATGACCAAATACCGCTGCCCTCGTTTGGGAGACAAGATGGCCGCCATTCTCGCTGCCACTTGTTCGGTTATACGAAATGGCGGCCACCCAGGGGAAGCATTCATTGATTGTTTCCCTTGTGGTTTTGCACGTATAGTGTTGGTATCAATGTTCTTTTTTTTTTCAAATTTGACAATTTTTATTGTTTTGTCATTTCTTGAGAGGATGAGGATACAGAAAAAAGAAAGGGAGGGGTGGGGAAGGGGGTAGTTGCAATTCCATAAAGAGTGTGTACAAGTTAGTCGTCACATACAATCTCTGTAATCACAGTTGTTGGAGTACAGATAATAACTGTTAAACAGTGCAAGGTAGTGGTATTCGTGCATTGACCGTTGGTGTATATACTTTTCCCGTACCCTTGGAGTAGATGAGAGGGAGAGAACTAGGGCCTGACCTTATGCTTCAGTGGTAATGTTTGCCATAATTTCCCATGGGGGCTTGATATGTGCTTGGGGTTGTTTGAGGGTTATTCAGGTTGCTCTTCAGGTTCACCTTATGACCTCTAGTGTTGTGTGGAGTGGTCGTACTCCTTGTGATCAGTTACTTTGGCATTCCCGTATGGTGGGGTATGCTTTGATAAGTATTCTGGCCTCACGACGGGAGGTTCCCTGTTGTGCCACTTTTGTATGTTTCCCACTTATCCCATGCTATTTCCCAGTATGTTCGGTACTGTTTGTGGTTTCAAAGTGGCCCGCGTGGCTTATTTGTTGAGGTATCAATGTTCTGATGGGGTACAGGGGTGGTCTTCGTTCGGGAGATGAATTAATTCTGTTCGTATGCCATCTCCCGAACGGCAAAGGGGATAAACACACAAATTAACATGGGAAAGCATCTGAAATGGGGTTCACAATCCAAAGTAAGGGAGACATAAGAAATAGGTGGCTAGGTCCGCCACAGTGTCATACAGACAGAGTTACTAAAGTGGGAATTCAAAGTAAATTTCAAATCTAAATCCAGAATAACCAAAGTGAAAGCATAGCTGACTGAGAGAATTATAACAGTACTGGGGGTACTTTTATAATTGTGAGACTTCACAGAACCCAGATATGTGTATTTTATTGCAGTAAAAGCTAACAGTATTTCAGATTCACAGTTAGAATGCCATGCAGAACTTGGAAAATAATTTTTTAATTGCAAACACTTTTTATTCAAAGGAGGGTGGTTCCCTTCAGGTATAGTGATCACAGGAAATGTTCCAACATTTCATATATAAATATCTGACGTGAAATCATAGCCCTGTTTCTCCTGAACAGAATGATCTATAATAAGTGTGGGTGCACTTAATGTGAAAGAGGTAAATTATGGTTGAACAGAAATATAACGCAAATTCCAGGTTTAGCTTTGGTTCAGAATGTGTACAATTGCCTACGTCCTTAAGGTGTATAGATCAAAGAGTAAAGTGAGTTGACAAACTGTAATTTAACTTTAAAACAGTTAATCTGAGCAGCGTGAGACCCGAAGCCATCGCTGAAGTTCTGCCAACATGCCATCCATGTTGGCCCAGTGACAGATGCAGGTAGTTTAACAGAATAATGTTAAACAGAAGAAGCAGAGTAAAAATAAATATATACGACTGACAGATAGTATTTACCAATTGCTATCACAATTTCACGTGAAGAAGGGAGGGTACTCTCCGAGTCAGAACTTTCACTATTTTGTAACGTAAAAAGAGAAGTTACCCGCCCATTAGAAAGCCAATAAGTTGGCCAGACGTTGGGAATGTGGAGCAAAGAAGGAACGCTGGAACTTGGACAACGCACTCAGGTGAGGAGTTACGGATTTGAGATTTATTTAACACTGTTGGGGCTTATTCTTTAAATAGCTCAGCTATTTGGGCGTGTGCTCTGCAGTTCCCTCGCCAAATATATGCTTTACAAATTTTCTGCATTTATGCCAATGGCAGAATTTTACAATTACAGTGTAATTCTGCCAAAGTGAGAATGCAAAAAGAATTTCAGACTTAAGGCCAGAGCAGCCAAAATGAAAGCACAGTTAACTTAGAGAATGTTTCCAGTTCGGCTACTTTAAACTTAAATGTGAAGTTCACGGCCACTTCCTCCCAGCAGTACTTTGCAGCTGAGATTTTTTTTTAAAGGGGCCTGGTTGCGCTATTGCACGGCTGCAGCGCTGACCGGGCACCTGAAGACACAGGATCCATCGGGTAGCCCTAAAAGCGTGGGCCACCCAATAGGCCCCAACAGTGTGCGGGCCCCGGTGCAACTGCACCGGCAGCAGTTCCGCCGCTACACGTGGGGTCCGGGTGGCCAGGCCCCCCAGGGCCGCCGGGCCCGTGACAGATATATTAGAAGAGACAAATAGGGAGAAACACTATTATCTTACAGAGGATACATGTGATCTTATGTTGTCAATACATAGTATCGCATGAAAAGAGACAAACAATGTATCGCCCTGAGATGTGTTACAAAAACCCTAAGTGGTTGGTAACCCCAGTATTATGATGTGTCTCAATGAAGTATATAGTTTACTTTGCCTTCACCTCATTTGACCCTACTTACCTATCTCGATATATGGAGCACTATCTCCTCGAGTTTCGAGTACATTTACCTCCAGTAACTCGTTTGATAAGATTTAGACTTTTAGGGTCATTCTTCGGACGTCTGATTCTCTAAGTGAGGTAGATAGGTAGATAGCTATTGGCGATCAGACACAGACAGCATTACCACCTCCTACTTAGAATCTTCCTACAACTGATACTTATGCGAGCTAGCAATTTATCAGCTTTAGTTTACCAGACAGAGAGTTATTTACACTTCAGTGTCTACTTTTTTGCCCTCGCAGGCACAGCGATTTCCATTTGGTTCGCAAAACTCTCCCCCTCTGGTTACAGCAAGATATCTAGGCAGCTCATCAAAGAAACACTATACTGCTATATCTGTTGGCTAAGGATTCCTTTCGCTTATGTTTATCTAATTCTGCCGATATAAATCATTTCTGGCTTTTAAATCTGGGTAACTTTATTGGTCGACATCTGTCGATATACTTCATTGAGACACATCATAATACTGGGGTTACCAAGCACTTAGGGTTTTGTAACACATCTCAGGGCGATACATGGTTTGTCTCTTTTCATGCGATACTATGTATTGACAACATAAGATCACATGTAGCTTCTGTAAGATAATAGTATTTCTCCCTATTTGTATCTTCTAATATTTCCGTACCTACAGTACAAGTAGAATTTTAAGAAAGATATTTTTACTTGGGACCAATTCTTACCCAACGCATGTCCGTTGCTATATATGTTTTTTTTTCCTTTTCTCCCCCTTTACCATTAGACCTAGGTTCATCTTACTATTTTCACGTGTGCAGTGTATTTCGTTTTTAGGTATACTCCCTCCTTCATTTATCTCTACATTCAACCAAGGGATAACCTCATTTCTGTCCCTCCAATTTAATCCATATGATTATTTGGCTTCACCCTCTCTACTGATGTTAGGGAATTGTTGGAGCAGCTCACTCTGTATTATATCAAGCGTCTCGTTATCACAGAGCTTTTATATTTATCATATTTGAGTTAAGATTTTATTGAGAAATAGTTAATAGATTTTGGTGTATTTTTGATGTTTCTAATTTCATTTATTTACCTTTTGTGTCACTATACCCCACTCCCTCTAACATGTAAGCTCACTGAGCAGAGCCCTCAATCCCTCTGTTACTGTCACTATACCCCACTCCCTCTAACATGTAAACTCACTGAGCAGGCCCTCAATCCCTCTGTTACTGTGTCACTATACCGCACTCCCTCTAACATGTAAACTTACTGAGCAGGCCCTCAATCCCTCTGTTACTGTGTCACTATACCCAACTCCCTCTAACATGTAAACTCACTGAGCAGGCCTTCAATCCCTCTGTTACTGTGTCACTATACCCCACTCCCTCTAACATGTAAACTCACTGAGCAGGCCCTCAATCCCTCTGTTACTGTGTCACTATACCCCACTCCCTCTAACATGTAAACTCACTGAGCAGGGCCCTCAATCCCTCTGTTACTGTGTCACTATACCCCACTCCCTCTAACATGTAAACTCACTGAGCAGGGCCCTCAATCCCTCTGTTACTGTGTCACTATACCCCACTCCCTCTAACATGTAAACTCACTGAGCAGGCCCTCAATCCCTCTGTTACTGTGTCACTATACCCCACTCCCTCTAACATGTAAACTCACTGAGCAGGGCCCTCAATCCCTCTGTTACTGTGTCACTATACCCCACTCCCTCTAACATGTAAACTCACTGAGCAGGCCCTCAATCCCTCTGTTACTGTGTCACTATACCCCACTCCCTCTAACATGTAAACTCACTGAGCAGGCCCTCAATCCCTCTGTTACTGTGTCACTATACCCCACTCCCTCTAACATATAAGCTCACTAAGCAGGCCCTCAATCCCTCTGTTACTGTGTCACTATACCCCACTCCCTCTAACATGTAAACTCACTGAGCAGGCCCTCAATCCCTCTGTTCCTGTGTGTCCAACTTGTCTGGTTACAACCCACTTGTTTGTTCATCCGTGCACTGTAAAGCGCTGCGGAATTTGTTGGCGCTATATAAATAATAACATAATAATAATAATAATAATTTAGATTCCCGTGATAAATATTTCTGTTGTTTGACCTGAAATCTCTCTGTATTCTCCTGGTAAATCTCTCTCTGAATAGTTCTGAGTTTTCTGTCCTGAGATATTTACGCATTCGGAAAATGAGACGCTTGCTGTATATCCTGCCCTTATTGACGGGTGAGTCCTGCGGCTACGCAATATACAGAACTTTATTGGGGTGTATTCACTGAACTGGGAATTGTAGAGAACTGACAATAGACTGCAAGCAGTTTCCTTCACATTCTCTGTTTTAGTAGCTAACCAGATGTGTGAGTTAAAAAGCCCTTTCGGTATTAATCAGGAGTTTGGTCCCTTGTGCATATCTACTGTGTTCCTATTCTATCAGCATGTGCTATAACTCAATTCACCTATTTCTGGAATGTACCTTCAAATCCTCCATAAAACACAGACTGACAAAAAAAAAAAAAAATTAAATAAAAAGCCCTTTCTATGGTTTGAATTGATTAATTGGTCTTTATTTGCTTTTATTTACTAATTTCACCTAGAAATATAACATCCATCTCTGCCCCTGTGTGATATAGAAAGTTATCAGTGGATGGAGAAGGTCTGTCTGTTATCCAACCACGGAGATTTTAGGATATTCATTTGCAGTTGTCGCTGTGGTCCTCATAGGAAGCGACTTTTCTGGGATCCTGAATCCATCTTATTTTATTATTTCATTATTTTTGTGCTGGGACCAGACCCCCACATCCTAGCTACCCCTCCTTTCCACCCCCTAGAAAGGCAAGGTGAAGAACTGATTCCAGTTCAGGGTGGGAGAAGGTATTTGTATTTGTGGGGCCCCGGCTGGTAGCAGCAATGTTGGACTTATAGCAAGAAGAACACGTTGTTAATATATCATGAGGAATCACTAACAACAGACTCTTCTAGTGAGAAAACGAGGCTATTGAAGCGTGGGAATATATTTTTATGAAGGTAAGACACTACATTCACGGGGATCAGCCTAGCGTATTCTTGAAAATTCAGGAATATTTTGAATAATCTAGTAATTCGCTGTTACTGACAACATTGGCTTTGCATCTATTGGTTTTAGTAATGGTGGCAGTGGCGCAGTGTGGTCTCCTGGAATTCGGAATCATGATACAGAGAGTTACAGGGAATAATGCGTTCCGTTACGCTTTCTATGGGTGCCACTGCGGACTTGGAGGCTACGGAACACCCAAGGATGACATCGACTGGTGAGTGACCCGTTTCTGTTCAAAGTATCTTCAACAGAAATGAACATTCAGACAGTAATCATTTTCTAACAGCATGAAGTCCTCAATGATACAGGTAACCATTATACAATATATGGTCCACACTACTAAGCTGCTACAACATGTCCAAATAATGTCCAACCACTCATGGTCACAAGAATTGGCACTGTGAGCTGATCTGATGCCTAATTTCTGCATATTCTAATGATATAACTTCTACTGATGTACCTTCCAGTGATATACCTTCTAGTGATGTACCCTTCAGTGATATACCTTCTATTGATATACCTTCTAGTGATGTACCTTACAGTGATATACCTTCCAGTGATATACCTTCCAGTGATGTACCTTCCAGTGATACACCTTCCAATCATATACCTTCTAGTGATATACCTTCTAGTGATATACCTTCCAGTGATGTACCTTCCAGTGATACACCTTCCAATCATATACCTTCTAGTGATGTACCTTCTAGTGATGTACCTTCCAGTGATATACCTTCCAGTGATGTACCTTCCAGTGATGTACCTCGTAGTGATGTACCTTCTCGTAATACCTTCTCGTGATGTACCGTCTAGTGATGCACCTTCCAGTGATTCACCTTCTAGTGAATAACCTTCTATTGATGTACCTTCTAGTGATTTACTTTCTAGTGATGTACCTTCTAATGATGTACCTACTAGTCATATACCATCTAGTGATGTACCTTCTAATAATGTACCTTCTATTAATGTACATTCCAGTGTTGAACCTTCTGCTGATACATCTTATACTGATGTACCTTCCAGTGATGTACCTTCCAGTGTTGAATCTTTCTGTGATATAAGTTCTAGTGAATTACATTCCAGTGATGAACCTTCTAATGACGTACTTTCTAATGATGTACCTTCTAATGATGTACCTTCTAGTGATGTACCTTCTAATGATGTACCTTCCTGTGATATACCTTCCAGTGATGTACCTTCTAGTGATGTACCTTCTAATGATGTACCTTCTAGTGATGTACCTTCTAGTGATGTACCTTCTAATGATGTACCTTCTAATGATGTACCTTCCTGTGCTATAACTTCTAGTGATGTACTTTCTAGTGACGAACCTTCTGCTGATACATCTTATACTGATGTACCTTCTTTTGATCTACCTTCCAGTGATGTACCTTCCAGTGATATAAGTTCTAGTGCATAGCATTCCAGTGATGAACCTTCTAATGACGTACTTTCTAGTTATATACCTTCTAGGGATGTACCTTCTAGTGATGTACCTTCTAGTGATGTACCTTCTAATGATGTACCTTCCTGTGCTATATCTTCTAGTGATGAACCTTCTGCTGATACATCTTATACTAATGTACCTTCCAGTGATATAAGTTCTAGTGAATACCATTCCAGTGATGAACCTTCTAATGATGTACTTTCTAGTTATATACCTTCTAGCAATGTATCTTCTAGTGATATACCTTCTCGGGATGTACCTTCTAGTGATGTACCTTCTAATGATGTACCTACTGGGGATATACCTTCCAGTGATGTACCTTCCTGTGCTATACCTTCTAGTGATGTACCTTCTAGTGATGTACCTTCTAGTGATGAACCTTTTAGTGATGTACATTCTAGTTATATATATACCTTCTAGTGATGTACATGGCAACATTTTTAGGGTCATTCCATTCTGATCCCAGATGGTTTTGCTTTTCAATCAGCTTATATTATGTTACACTGTGTTCTGGAATCCGAGACATGGCTGATGTTTGGAGGTTGTGTATTGCTGCTGTCAGTAGAAACTTCTTTTTTTCCTACCAAATATGTTCTTAGTTACATCTTTCTATCCCATTTCTAGTGCCCTACATATCTATGTTACTGCCTGTATGTCAGAGATTTGGGCTGATACAACCCTATCATAGAGAGCCCAAGAACACTGAGTTTGGTAATGAGGAAATATCAGGGGACAATGTTTTCCACATACAGGACGACAGCTTGGTCATTTAATCTGTCTGATACGACAGCAGGCTGATCCATTGCTGATCTGTAGCTGGTCAGGTGGGAGCTGTGTTTAAGTTTATTTTATAAAATCCACAAACAGTAAAATGCTAAAAGAAATGCTCCAGGAATTAAAGATTCTTCATTCATATCATTATTTGCACCCAGTTAGTCTATGTTTGTCAGGAGCTTAATTACAGCCTTTTAACATTCAAGAACTCGTGATATGACAAGGTCCTATTGTGAAAGCATTCAGCCATAGTACGCTGTCACTGGATGCACGCCAGTCTCAGTATTTACACTCTAAATTAAAATATATTCAGTCTGAAACCAAACTGGTGGTATTAACCATTTCCAGTGCTAGTGAATCCTTCCTTACTCCCGCAGAATGATAACTTAATATCTGAATATTGTTTAATATTATCCCTGCAGACCAGTAAATGTACACAGCATGTATAAGGGCCCACTAGGATGGAAAATGCAGGATTGGGACAAGTTGTAAATAGTATACAGGAGCTGATATGAACGTTGATATGATACTATGGACCTGCTGTAAATATTGTCCCATGGACAGAGCTGGATTAAAATTGCTCAGAGCCCTAGACAGGATGTCAGGAGCCCCCTACAAGAGACCTGGGCTCTGTTTCTGTGAGTTAGGGGGAGGGGAAGGGAGCGGAGGCTCCTTCTTTCATTATTGGCAGGAGGAGGTGTAATTCCTGATAATCCAGTTAAAACCATTCTTTTCAGGGCCCCTGGTGGACCAGTGAAGACCATTCTTTTCAGGCCCTCGGGTGGTCCAATGTAGTTCATTCTTCTCAGGACCTCAGGTGGTACAGAGAAGATCATTCTTTTCAGGGTCCCTGGTGGTCCAGTGTAGACCATTCTTTTCAGGACCTCGGGTGGTCCAATGGAGACCATTCTTTTCAGAACCCCTGGTAGTCCAGTTGAGGCATGGGTCTCTACCAAGATCAGGTACAGATAACTATAAGACCTAGTTAATGGCGGTCCAATGACGCTGTCAATGATGGACTTACTCCTCCAGCAGCAGAGGGGTTAAACTCTGTATTAGCAGAATTTCATAGTGAAATACTACACATACAGACTCCAGGCACCATGACCACTTCAAATCACTGATCTGATGTCCTCCATCCAAGGTGATGCTGTCATACCTCAGCTCCTGGTGGTAACCTGCTGGAAGCCGCATTGGTCAGGGGTTCTCAACAAAACGGGACCATGGGATCTTCAAATGTGAACACAGTCAGATGTAATAGGCATCTCCTGCTCATTGTATGGAAAGATGCATGTTCCCATCAGCCATTGCAACCGATCGCTACTGAAAAATGGCAGGATGTGGTGGAGAAAGTTGTGCCCATTGCCAAATCTTTAAATAGATAAATATGAATGATAAACACGGTTTGTTTTTTTATTTGGTGAGTAAATGTTCCTTTATTAAAAATAAGTCCAGTTTATTATATTTTTCATGGCAGCGCCTGCTTTGTTATTATAGCAGTTTCTGATTTGTTCCAGTTTCCCTCCAGCCATGATTCGAGCTCCTTTAATGTCCTGAATGTCTTCGTCTCCCCAGGTGCTGCCACAGGCACGACTGTTGCTTCAATGTGATGTCCGCGGAGGGATGTAAGCCCATGTCTATACTTTACGATTTTGACATCACAAACGGGAACGTCACATGCGGTAAACATTTAAAAAAATAATAATTTTCACCAGTAAACCAGTGAGCAAATCCTAAATGAACAATTTAGCATTAAAAATATAAATGTATATTCCCAACGCTATAGTGCCGTAGTCAGAAATTTAGGACACCGGGCCCCAACTGCCAGGGTTAAAATGCTGGTTTTACTTAACTTCTCTCTCTCGAAGCCCTGGGTTTCGATAAGCAGTTCTGTCTCTTTAGCGGAGATCATTAAGAGCCAATCCAATGCTTTCCCATACATATCGGTATGCAGGCAGCCATCTTGGAATCAGCGTTATTAAACTCTCAAACTCTGCTGGGGACATGTGATACCAGCGCTAATCAGAAACGGGTCTCTCTTAAACTCATTAATATAAATCCATAAATATTCCTCATCATGGGGTCTGGAACTGCATGGCTTTATTTACCTATAGGAAATTCACATTACCCGCAATCTTCTTTTATTTCATCTTTATAAAATTGGAAAAGCAGAGCAAGTATGAAAATAATAATTAAACGGTGTTGTAGATTTTTAAAGTATTTCTAATTCACAGAACACAATTTTAGTGAATTCCTTACAGAATTTACCAATTTGGGCTAAATTTCACATTTTGGTTTACTATTGCCTGCAGTTCTCCATTTAGTCGATTAACCCCAGTGTTTATAAATCAGAGCCATATTTTGTGTGTAACTGGGAGTTGTTTGGTGTAATTTTATCTTCTAATTTTAAAGCTAAACGCGGTATAAAACAAATAGAAAGTTTTAAGGAATAAAATGTTGTTTTCCCTCGTGCAGATATTCTGAGTAACAATTACTGTGCGAGACAGGTGTGTGAGTGCGATCGAGAAGCTGCCCTCTGCTTCAAGCAAAATAACCACAAGTACTCAAAGAAACACGCCATATATCTAAAACACTTAAAGTGTAAAGGACTCGTGCCAGAATGTTCAAATTATGTGTTTTAAAATAAACTCCTGTATTTCACAATAAATTCTTTATCCGTGGAAATCTGTGATTTTTGTCAACTACCAACACATCAATGTAATAAAGGAGAGGATATCTCTATATTGGTGGAACAAATATTGCAAAGCGGTCAAGGAACGGGCTAAAACAAGTCAGGCACTGTCTGACAGATACCAGACTAGATTAGTCATAAATATCCATTAGTTACAGACAACATGAAAAGGGAAGAAAATTGTATCGGATTCTGTAGAGATTTTTAATTAAGATCTGGAAGCTTTTCTGAAAAAAAAAAAAAAAAAAGGAATATACAGGAATATATTTGGTATGTGGGATATCAGATTGTTGAACCAAATATAAATATTGAAGAAGACTTTAGTCACCCTAGATTACTATGTATGTAGGTCTGTTACATTTACAAAGTTTACAGTTTTGCCAAAGTCAGATTTTAGATAGTAAGCGTAGAAAACAAAACAATTTAGCAAATATAGCAAAATTAGAAAAATACAAACCTTAAATAAGGGCAAAGTTTCAACATTGTAAAAGGTCTTCATCAAGCCCTCGGGAAGGAGAGATGCCATGCAGGTATCAAACTGGACAGTTGGAGACCCGACTTTAAAACGCAATGTGTGACCAGTTTGCAAGGCTCTTAGTAAATAGTTACAGTTATTGTGAAATAAGAACTCCCAGAAACCAGAGCTAGCCAGTTAATAGATTGAGGCTTTTATCCAAATGTTACAGAGGTTTGCCTATAGAATTTACAAATCCATAGCTCAAATATATACCTGCTTCTTTAATAGCTTGCTAAACCTTGCAGACACCTCCTGCGTGTGATGTAAGTTCAATTTACAAAGCAGGAAATAAAAACTTTGAAAGTAATTTACATCTGATTGAGAATTAAACCATTTTGTTTTCATGCTGGCTGTCAGTCGCAGCCAGGAGAGGTGTGACTTAAGTCATCTGCAATAATTACCCCTAAATCCTTTTCCTCAGATGTTAAGGTTAGGACTCATTATCTTGCACTTATCTACATTAAATGACAGTTGCCACAACTCTGGCCATTTTTCTAGTTTACCTAAATCATTTGCCATTTGGCTTATCCCTCCTGGAACATCAACCCTGTTACATATCTTAGTATCATCGGCAAAAAGACATACCTTACCATCAAGACCTTCTGCAATTTCACTAATAAAATATTAAAGAGAATGGGTCCACATTAATGCCTTACTTATGATTGCACATATTTTCGAGAACATACGTTGCAGGACAAAGGCCTGGCTCTGAAATGTCATATTTTCCCTACGATACGTCCCGACCGTCAAGTCACACAACGTTGTGGTGGCACAACCTGTGCACAGTCCCTCTGATCCCCCAACTGGCTGTGTCAGGTGGCTTACTGTAAAAAACAGAGCGACACATTTCAATAAATACTCTTGGAATGTAATACAGGGCATTGCAACCATTACGTCAGAGCTTTAGGAGTAATCCGTGAATGGACAGCCATGATTGGCTATCCTGAAATCAGCAGATTAGCATTTATTCATGTCCAGAAACAAAAAAATCTCCCAAACAACTATTTACATATTTATTTAAAAATATAATTTATCATACAGTATATATTTTTTGAATTAACTTAAGGAATGCCATGTTATCTCCCAGCATGCATCTCACTTTATTAGGGAGGAGATAGCTGGGGCAGACAAGGCACTAAAGGGCTTTCACAGGATATGTAGATTTATAACCGCCATCCTGAACGTGTCCAATGTGGTCCTCTAGAAATGACGTCAGATATTCAGGGCAGCGACCGCCTTCACTACGGTTCTCTGTGATTGGTCCATGTCTGCTTCTTGCCGGTTGTTATCAATGTTATTGCAGCGTGTCTCCAGCACTTTCTGCCTGTGTCGCTCCTCCTGGCGCTTTTTCTTCTGTTGTCGCAGCTGCTCCTTCCTTTGCTTGTTGCTCACCTAGGAATGAGAGCAGAAAACGTATTGGAAACCCATCACATGATCAGTTAATATACAGCGACTGTTCTACCAACACCATCAGCTATTGTACAATGCAATCTCCCTCCACAGAGCAAGTGTGAGTGCTCTGTCATTGGTCTCCCCTTTGCAGTTACCTTTATCTGACCAGAGCTTTCATTACTTTCTTTTGCTGTCCTGGAATTGTCCTTGGGAGGGACGTCCTGGGGGGTATTTAAATCTGGTTTGCTCTGTGTTTTATGGTCATTTAATTTGCTGCTGATGTTGCCCTTTACTTGCAATGGTCTGGTCTCTGATCTTTCTGACTCACTCGGGTCCCAAGCGTTGCTTGCCTCAGCCACACAGTCCAGGTCACAATCTGTCAATAAAAGGATAGAATAATAACTACACAAAGAACCTCTCAGTGTCAGAGTGGACCTGTCATGACTTTTCCTTAAAGGGACAGTTAAGTCATCATACAGCACCATAGCAACTTCATCTAAATAAAGTGCTTACAGTGCCAGAAGGCTCCGGGCATTTAAAAAAAAAAATATTTAAGTATACAAATAAAGACAAAACGTCACATTTATTAACATTTCTGCAAACATATAGATAAAAAGTTTTATGTTCTTTAATATAATCGGATACATTTCTATGTTCTCTAGGACGTGCTGCCGTTACATGAAGTTGAGAGACACAAACACGCAATATATACCAATTTGTTTCAGTTCCACCATCTGCAGAACGAACTGGATTGCAGACTCAATGTCGTAGCTTTCCGCCTCCAAACTCTGCAGGATCAGACTGACATCCTAATATGAGAAAATACACACTGTGTGTCAGCAACAACTCTTATTATGTGATAATGTTAGTAAAGCTGACTGAATGACCATAGGAAATTAATTGCTATATTTTCCCTGGTACTGGTTACAAGGGTGGCCGAATGGAGCAAAACAATCACCATTTGGCTGGGGGATGTTAGATGGAGTACCATACGCCACTGCGGAACTCAGAGCAGCTTTTATCCTTTCTTGGTTTTTGTAGTAATGTAGAAACATAACCACTGGAAGCCTGTTTGTCAGAACAACTATAGCCACTGCATGAACACACATGGTAACTGATTGCACTTTCAATCCAGAAACACTAACCCAAATGAGGATATATAAAAGTGTACCTTAGGGAAATAGACAAAGCTTCCCACCTTCCTTCAATAGATTAAATGGTATATAACTTCCACACAAAATACTCATCTGATAATATTATGTAAACAAAGGTTTTCACATTCATCGCTGTTTTTAAGCTAGTGAGAGGGAAATCTAGCAACTACACTCACTACTCACAGTTGTTGATGTGCTTAAACTGCTGGAAGGACTGCAGTCCTTGAGGGTTAGCTCATTTTTTTATGTAAGCTGAGTATTTTCAGTGAGATTACTACACTACTATAGTGTCAGGAATTGAAACATGTATTTCTAACATTATAGTATTAAACTAAATGGGTGACTAGCCCCCCCCTCCAGTCTCAATAAAAGGAGATTTTACTCTCTCTTTCTCCCTCACTGGGCCAGTCTCACCAAGGCTGGCTCCACCTCCATGGCTGAGATAATCAACCTTGATGATCTCAGCCAATCCAATGCATTCCCATAGAAAAGTATTGAGAAGCAATTGCGCAAGCGCAACAAAACGCCATGTTACACCAATCAGAATTTCCTCATAAAGATGCATTGAATCAATGGATCTCTATAAGGAGAGTTCAGGGTCTCGATGCAGAACGTGGCGACACTGAACAGATGCTGCACACTGTGGAGTGACTGTAACTAAAGGTGTTACTAGGCAGCAATGTAAACAATCCATTTTCTCTGAAAAGACAGCATTTACATTGAAAAGCCTGCAGGGGCTGGCTATAAGCACAGTGTCCCTTTAAGATTAGTTTAATTCCAGACTCACAAACAAGTCTAAGCAGCGATGGACAATGGCATACAATTTCCAGAATTCGTTGAATGCAATAAGTCAGAAATTCATGGGAACTGTAGTTTAGATATATATTGAGGGGTCAGAGAGTGTTTCGGGTGTCTGCTGCAACACAAGCCATATTACAGTAACTATTTGTGAAATAAATGTCAAATTAAACACTTTTAGTGAAAGAATCACCATTCAGACATTTTGTGGCACGCACCGCACAGCCAGTTGCATTGCGCACTTTCTGCACAGGGTCTCCCTGCAGTTCTGCTTGGTCCTCTTTGAGGTTTAACCTAGGTTTCCCCTTCCGATTGGACTCGTCTTTTGAAAGCATCTGAAAACAAACAGAAAAGGAAGAGTTAGACGACCTGTTGAAGGATTGTCAAAGCACGCTCCGGGATCAGGGAAAAGACTCCGAATAAAGTTTTCAGTTTTTCCTGCCACTATCAGGACTCCAAGCTATGTGAGAACAGCCTCTGCACTAAAGACAACCTACAGGCATAGTGTACTCATCTGTCAAATGGAACGGACTAGGTGGATAATAAAATGAAATGTATAAACGTAAACATATCAGACTCCAGGAAATAAACAGCTTGCTGAGTGCAACACATAAAGGCAATGTGACACAGGGGGCGTTTGATTTTAGGAAGGAGTTACACAGCTGAAAAGAGACTTGTGTCCATCAAGTTCAGCCTTCCTCACATGTTTTTGCTGATCCAAAAGAAGCGCTTCCAATTTTGCAACAAACTAGGAAAAAAATTCTTCTTGACCCCAAAATAGTAGTAATGTCATGTCTAGCAACCTTTATTATACATTAATCACGTTTTATTTCTGTTTAAAGATAATCTACCCTAAGTTACTGAACTTGGCATTTGATGAAGTGATACAATGTTGATGCCTTTAATTTTACAGAACATCAAGATCCTATTGGTAAGTACACATTAATATCACTTGAATTGCATAGTAATGCAGAGAAGAGGTCAGAGACTTGCAATTTACAAATGTGTGAAAGGTTGGTGCAAACTGAGGTTAGGAAAAGTAATCTATTCAGTCTGCTCCAATAATCTTTAGTAAAAACAGATTGACTGCAATTTACTAGACCACTGACTTCTGACATGCGCACATAATGCGCTATACACGCTCATATATGTTAAACTGAATGCACTCATACCTCCCCTTCAGCTGCCATACTTGAAGTAAACAGCTGTGATGGCTTAATTACATGTTAGAAAATAAAACACGGAAATATTACAGCCATAAAGGGGAATATCACACCCACCTACTTTATTTAGGGACAGATCACGTAAAATGTCCAGGTTATTAAAATGTCAAATAAATGGACATGGGAATAACACAAAAAAATTGACTGTTAGAAGTAATTTAAGATAAATAAACTCTCTAGATTGATAGGGGGAAAAAATCAACTGGAAGATGAAGCAGAGTGTTAAAAAATGACACATAAATAGATACACACACACACACACACACACATCTGTATGCCTCGCTACTCTACACCATGTGAATTTACTGAAAAATGAATTCCATCGCCTGTAAAATGCAGATTGACCTCGGTATGTAGATTTGCTGGGGTCTCTGTATTATCATTAATACGTCGGACGCTGTCGTAGTGTTCGCCGTAGCGATAGGCGATGTGTAGCTCAAGGGAATTGGCTTTCTCACTCCCTCGGATCTGAAAGGCACAAAAGAGAAAGGTTTCCTTAGTGATGTTACAGCTGACATTTAATTTGATCCCTACAAATATTTCCTTTGGCACGACATTTAATTGAGAAGAACAAACAGACTGACACTTAGCAACGACTGAGAAATAATGCACCAAATGGAGAGAGACAAAAGGACGCCTTGTCACAAATTCATTCAATCCTGCACAAGTACAAAAGAAGACCCAGGAGACTTGTCCCTACAGCCCCCTCTGATACCATCCCAGCTCTAACCTACATTTACATCAATGGTCTGCAAGGACATAAACGTTATCTTGCCAGAGTGAAAATACCAAATATGTCCTGCAGGAGACTGATGCATTCACTCACAAAGCCAAACAATAAATAAACGTTTAATGTGTTCAATGGAAGATGCCAGAAGACAAAGATTAGAGTTACTCATACATTAAGCAAACAAGATGAGGCCTGTACACCCAAAGAGGGGTCTAAATGTGAACATTGGATGGTATTTAGGATTCAATTTCATGCAGAAAATTCACGTAAGAAATAGAATACTACAGGAATAATTGCAGAGACATTCTCATGCAGCAGATATCTATAAGTTTAGGTGGAAACATTTTGTGGCAATTTCTACCATGTGGACAAAAAGGTTAATTTGGCTGCGTATTGTCAAAAAACTGAAAAAAGCACATGACATCGGGAAAACAATTCTCAATTGGCTACAAATATCAATTTCCTGAAATTAACAGCTCTCAAATCCAGATATCAAGGGGTTTCACCCGGATGGAGAGTGTGCTGGTATAACAGGGTGCTGCATCAATTAATAACATACACATGAAACTGCTAATCAAAAAATATATATTTTTCAAAACAGAGATCAGGGATGGATCAGCGCTTCTTTTTTTCTGTGAGGCGAAACACGTTTAGAAACTTTAATTGCTTAATTTAAATAAAATAATTTTTAGCTATACCACTTTTGCCATATTCCTTTATTATTTTGACTTAGTTTTTGTTTATGCCTGGCATCACCCCTGCTGTCTCTTAGGAAGACCAAAGAATCCCAGGTGGGGATTTTACCACCTACGCGCTACACAACGAGCAGTGAGCCTGCTCGGCAAATTGTGAGTATATCTCTTACATTTTATATTCACCACTGGTCTTATAGTTACAGTGAGCACTGTATTCTGCAATCTTATTTTTTCGGTTGGAATCCCTGTTGGTACACACGATCAGAAGCTTGGAGAACTACACATATGCTTGAGTGGGGATTATACCACTTTACGCCTTATAAACCAGAGCTGGATTTTAGCTCTGTAAAGTGTGAGTAATATTTCACCTCATATAACCTCTAAAAATATTGTATATACATACTGTACCATTGGAGTTTTTCCTTCTCTACTTTCTTATGTTCTCACATATATTTCAATGTAATACAGGCGCAACCTTCTTTCTTTTTTAGGTCACAAAATCTCTCAACAAGGCACCACTCACCCATGTGGATGAGATTAGAGATTTGTAATGTCTTTATACGTAGCACATACAACTCTTTACCAAACAACTCATTTATGGTCCTTTAGTCTGAAATCTCAGAATATTTATTATTTCGTTGTGTTGAAAGGGACACTTCAGAGTGGATTAGAACCACTCTATTTCTACATGTATTGGGTATACACCGAAATGAAAATTCTGGGCCAAAACCAAAAATTCAGGATGCCCTTGGCTGAAAAAAAAAAAATGACTTTTTTCCTCAAATGATTTAAAAAGTAGTTTTTTCCCTAAAATTTTGTTAATATTAGACTTTTTAATGAATTTAATTAATCTAATATGAAAAACGTCCCTTCTCTTTTAGCGGTCAGGGGGATTAATGGTCACTTAATGTTCCCCCTCCCCCCCCGTCCCATAGTATATTTTTCTCCCCCACCTCCCCTCCCATAGTGTTCTACCCCACCTCCCCCGTCCCACAGAGTTATACCCTCTCCCCTATCCCATAGTTTTCTCCCCCTTTTTTAGTGTTCTTTCCCCCCTCCCCTGTCCCATAGTGTTCTCTCCTCCCCTCCCCTGTCCCATAATGTTATCCCCCCTCCCAAGTCCCATAGTTTTCTCCCCCTTTTTTAGTGTTCTCTCCTCCCCTGTCCCATAGTGTTCTCCCCCCAGTCCCATAGTGTTCTCTCCTCCCCTCCCATAATGTTGTCCCACGTCCCATAGTTTTCTCCCCCTTTTTTAGTGTTCTCTCCTCCCCTCTCCTGTCCCATAGTTTTCTCTCCCCCCCGTCCCATAGTTTTCTCTCCCCCATCCCATAGTTCTTTCCCCCCCTGTCCCAATTTTATCCCCCTCCCTGTCCCATAGTTTCTCCCCCACCCCTGTCCCATAACGTTATCCCCACCCCTGTCCCATAACGCTATCCCCCCCCTCCCCTGTCCCATAACGTTATCCCTCCCCCTGTCCCATAATCCCCCCCTCCCTGTCCCATAGTGTTCTCCCCATGTCCCAGTTTTCTCCCCTTCCCTGTCCCATAGTTTCTCCCCCCTTCCCTGTCCCATAGTTTTCTCCCCTCCCCTGTCCCATAGTTTTCTGTCCCATAGTTTTCTCCCCCCACCCTGTCCCATAACATTATCCCCCACCCCTGTCCCAAAGCGTTATCCCCCTCCCTGTCCCATAGTGTTTCTCCCCCATGTCCCAGTTTTCTCCCCTTCCCTGTCCCAGTTTTCTCCCCTTCCCTGTCCCATGGTTTCTCCCCTTCCCTGTCCCATGTTTTCTCCCCCTTCCTGTCCCAATGTTCCCCCTCCCTCTTTTTTAGCGTTCTTCCCCCTATAGTGTTCTCCCCCCTCCCTGTGCCAAGTGCTGTATTCTTGACTTTTAATGTTATCATTACTATCTTTCATTGTGATATATAATCATCTGAATTGTTAATGCAAGCATGTCTGTTAAACTATACACTAAAAAAAACAAACAAATGTTATTAAAATTTCGACAAATTTGACCCGTTTTCGGCCAAGAATTTCGGTGCATCCCTAGCATGTATTATATAAATAATGCAAATTTACAAATACTAAAACGAAAATACTGTTCACATTTGAGGCGTTTGATTTTTACGCAAAGCCATAAACCATGAATTGTCTGCAGTGACCACTTACAAAACCAGGAATCAAAATCAGCCAGCCAATCTCACTACTTGACATTAAAGTGCTGACCACCCGAGCTTTATAGGCAGAACACGGGGTCCTGAATGTCAACATTCTATTACACAAAACTAACTAAACTACAATGCCCAGAATCCTAACATGACAGCATGTACAGAAATTATTTTTGGAAGAAGATAGAGGGGCAGAAAGGGTGATCTCATGGAGTAAAACTACTTATTTCATATTACAAACACAACACAACTAAAGATGACTGAATAGAGAAAAAAATAATACCTCCCACATAACCAAGTGTTAACCTCTATATTGCATCAGGCTGCCAGGAGTCTCCCTTTAACAGACTCAGCATTAGAGTAAATTCTGAGTTTAGAGTTTGTCACGCTGTCATATGAGAAATCAAGCCAAGTGCACTGATTTTCTATATTTAAAGGTCTATGCACCTCTGAAAATCTGGAGCACTGACCTGACTGTGAAATTACCCTCCTTTTAATTAGCTTGTTATTTAGCAACGAACGGTTACCTGCCACAGGGGATTATTTAGTTGGTGTATCACCACGTTCACTTGATTATTCCGTGCAAATGCCACAATAGCATCATTGCCGGCAAACGTGCCAGGTTGTGCCAAATTAGCAACTAAAAGAGAAAAGGACATTAAGATCTTGTTGCTGTCTACTGCTAACACTATAATCCAACTTCTCTATACTGTGCTCACCGTGCCTGTCAAAAGGGACGTCATCTTCAACAAAGGGTTCAAAATCATGCCGGTGTTTGACCATGTAATCCACCGTCTCTTGCCGATATTTCAGGTGGTTTCGGGAATGTCCCTCGAACTGATCGCCCAAAGCTCGAAATAAACAGTTCCTGCAGCAAAAAGAAAAGCAATTTTTTTAAAAGTATGATGACTTGTTGAATTTAACAAACTCAAACTTATCATTAGAATTTACAGTCAGTCCCCCAGATCAGAAAAATACTTAAATTAAATAACCATTGAATGGAGCCAGACCAATTCATCTCATTTTTGTAGACTCTGTAATATTTACATCACAGTTTCCTGACAGCTACTAAAGTAAACATTGGTCCTTTAATCAAATGTTGCTTATAGCGGCAGTGATTGGAGAATTTTGGAACACGTGGCCATCGTGTCCCCAATGCTTCCCTATGAGAAGCATTGTACTGGACGAGAAGAGTCAGCAGACTCTTACCTTTAAACATAGCATGCATTCTGACAGTCCCAGGCACTCTTCTCTCCTTTGAGAATGTATTTCCAAAGTAATATAAGCATTTCATAATGAGCCCATCGCAGGGAGCCCTGTTGTATCTAACACCATTGGAATCATTCAAGTTATATCTCAGCTCTACACCTAGAAGTATGGTAATCAGTCGCTGGCACTCTGCCTATTGTAGATTGTGTTTCTAATGATAATCTGTACAGCAATAAAGGAAATGAGTGTCAAAGTTTACAGCTGGAGGACTTTGACACAAACAGGGTTTTTCACTACGGGGGAAATTTAGGCCATCACAAATTAACAAAAAATATTCTGTAAGTTTTTCTATGTTTCCAGCTCAGGTGTTTTGACCAGAAACTTGCAATTCCCTGGTGAATTCACAACATCCCAATGAATAGCGACACAGAGGTGAAGCTGATAGAAAATATACTTCTGTCTTCCTGTTGCTTCATTCACCATTAGCCCGCATCACTGCTGTGCCCTCACGTATGTGCAGGAGGACAGCACTAAGATATACCCCACAAGAACGAGTTACAGTCAAAAGACCAACTCTCAAAAACAAAGAGCTTTGTTTCTGCTGTCACTTACAGTCGCTGTGGGAAGATAAAGGCAGAAGGACCTACACTTTTGTCAACTTCAGACGTGACCAGAAGACAAAGCAGGGCTAACTTTACTTTTTCAATGAAATTTTATCTGAAATAATATTGGGAGTGAAATACTTCATAAAAGTTTACACTCCGGGAACCATAACATCATCGCAGTAAAGCTCTCATGGAACCTGAAAGTCCTGGGTAATGGGACATGCAGGGCAACAAAACCAAAACCACTGTGGTGGTTATGTTCTTTAGGTTGACTCTTTGAATTAATCTAGTAAACAGTGTAAGTAATCACAACCATCATAAATCTAGATAATAATGATGGACTAGGGGTGGCTCCAACAAATGGAAATATGTCATCCACCATAATGGTACTTAATGGTTTAATAATCATTGGACGCTTACAGGGAAAATATAGACCAAGAGCATGATCTAAGAGAGGGATCACAGCTGGACATTCAGTCAATAAATCCAGCAGCTCACTCCATGTACTAAGGGAGTACCAAGATGGTGGCGGACCCCCTTAGTAGCCTGTGAGTACCAACATGGCGGTGGACCCCCTTAGTAGCCTGTGAGTACCAAGATGGCGGCGGACCCCTTCGGAAGCCTGTGAGTACCAAGATGGCGGCAGACCCCCTTAGTAGCCTGTGAGTACCAAGATGGCGGCGGACCCCTTCGGAAGCCTGTGAGTACCAAGATGGCAGCAGACCCCCTTAGTAGCCTTGAGTACCAAGATGGCGGCGGACCCCCTTAGTAGCCTGTGAGTGCCAAGATGGCGGCGGACCCCCTTAGTAGCCTGTGAGTGCCAAGATGGCGGCGGACCCCCTTAGTAGCCTGAGTGTACCAAGATGGCGGCGGACCCCCTTAGTAGCCTGAGTGTACCAAGATGGCGGCGGACCCCCTTAGTAGCCTGTGAGTGCCAAGATGGCGGCGGACCCCCTTAGTAGCCCGTGAGTACCAAGATGGCGGCGGACCCCCTCAGTAGCCTGTGAGTACCAAGATGGCGGCCTCCCCTCCCCTCAGACTCTCTCACTGACCCGTCTCCCGGTACTTCGCGCATGCGGAGGCCGAGGACCTGCAGCTGGTTGGCGAAGCTGACGAACTCCCCGGTGTCGGCCGCCTCCCCCGCCTGGTCCCTGCGCTCCTTGGCCAGCGCTCTCCGAGCCGTCCTCTCGTCCCTCTTCCGCTCCAGCTCGGCCTTCTTCCCGGGCCGGCCCCGCCCCGCCTGCTTGCGGGACATGGCTGCCGGAGTCTGGGTGACTGGAGCCCGAGGGCTGCGCTGCTACGGACACTTCCGGTCTCCAAACAGCTGGGCTCCGGAAGCTGACCATAGAGAGGAGAGAGCGAGAGAGAGAGGCCGAATCATAGAGAGACCGGGGAATCGTTACCAGACACGCCCTCACAGCTCAGCCAGCCTGCTGAATCTCTCTATGGAGCCAGTGAATAATAACATTATAGTCTGTGATAATAATGATATTATTCATCTAACTTTTATATTCATTCAAAATGTATGGAAATATTATAAACTGTGCAATATAAACAATAATAATAATACAGTATTAATATACTAACCATATTTCTACAGATTTCTGATATAATAAACAATGAAAACCACACTAAATGTTATTAGCTACATAGATTAAATTGCCTCTTGTTTCTGTAAAGTAGTACATTTAATCTTCTGCCTCTAAGATAACTCATTTGCCACAAAGGGGGCATCAAGATGCCACCTTGAAATCAATGCCATAAACTTAGGCCATGTTGGCATCGATTTCCACACACTGGACACCCCTCCTCGTCGTACAATAATGTTTAGCCTGAGCCAAACCACATTTCGCATCAAAAACTGGCACCATTAACTCAATGCATTTCAATGGGGATTTCTGTATATATGAAGGACATTGTGGTAGTCCCCGTAATTATCACATAGAATGGTGTTCCAATGCCGTTTTTTGTAACAGTGCGTTAATCCTCCTTGAAAAGAATGGCACTCTGTAGCTGGTGCACAAGCTTTGCACCGCACCCGTTAATGGCGTTAATAGTGGGCATTGAATGATCAACGCCTGTTAATATAACTAACACTTTGTGTTCACAGGGGGAATTGAATATAGGACATTATTTTATACACCGCCGTTACAGATCTTGTGGTATATTAATACCATTGATGTCATGCTAGCTATAAGTTGGCATCACATCATCGGTTATTGATTACCATCAAGAGCTGTAAGATTATATGTACCCTCCGACCTAATGCCACGTGTATCATGGTTTCATGTTCACAGTGTGGATGGCCACATTTATTCCCACATCAGAGGAGTTCAGGCACCAAAATCTTAGAGGATTCCTGAATGGCCTGATATAAACAGCCAGTCGATTCACATAACTGCCCCGAAATGTGTCGACCCATGAATGTTTCTCTGATGTTTAAAACAACTCCAGCACTTATCTACAACCCTGCAACTGCCTATGTACCATGTCATTCACCACACACACTCACACACACACACACACAACAAAGATGAGCGAAATGGACACTGGATCGCAATGTATAATACAGATGGGTGCCTAGTGTATTTAACCCCTTAAGGACCAAACTTCTGGAATAAAAGGGAATCATGACATGTCACACATGTCATGTGTCCTTAAGGGGTTTAATCAATGTACATTTGGGAGAGCCAAGATGGTTTTTATATAAGAGCACCTTGGCTACTTATTGTCAGGGTACCTGTTGGTGATGTATCCAGGGAGGACATCCTCTCTGCTTAGGGGCTCCCTTCCCTTAGCATTTCGGCATATTCCGGCCGTTTTCGCGCCGGCCGCGCTAGCTCCTCCCCCTTTTATGACGCGACGGCTAGCGTCGACGTCATGACGTCGGCATTTGCATAAAGTGCCGGGAACCGCTATTCCGGACCTTTTGGGGGCGTGGTCTCTATTTAGGTAACAGGGTATTTAAAGGAAACCTTTACTACTGCTCATTGCCCTGTCGTGGTTCTAGCTTGCTAGTCACTCAGCGCGTTCTTTATCTTGTGTTTCCGGTTTTGACCCTTGCTTGTCTTTTGTCCTGTTGTCCTCTCCTCTCCTTTGACTCGGCTTGTATCTCGCTTACCTGTCCTCCGGCTCCCTTGACCTCGGCTTACCTTTTGACTATTCTTGCTTTGTCCTTACGTTAGTCCGGCCATTCTAAGGTCCGGTATACGTACCTCCTTCTGTGCGCACTCTGCGTATTGGATCCCTGTCAGTTTCCTGACATTACGACAGGGCCATGATGGATCCTGCAGGTGCTAGTCCTCCTGACCCCAGATTTGAGGCCATGGACCATAGAATGGACCAAATGGCTTTAGCGCTACAAACTTTGTTGACACGCTCCAGTACCCAGTCTGAAGAAATACGTTCCACTGCTAGCCACTCGCTAAGTACTGGTTTGGAAGTAGCCACTGTAGGCGCATCTTCCCATGTCACGTCACCATTACGATATGGGGGTTCGCCTGATGCTTGTCGTGGTTTTTTAAACCAGATAAGTATACATTTCGAACTACAACCCCGGGCTTACCCCACTGACAGGGCTAAGGTAGGCTTTATTATAACCCTGCTAATAGATAAAGCACTTAGATGGGCCAATCCCCTTTGGGAGAATGACAATCCTTTAGTCTACAACTACACTGCGTTTGTCACGGCTTTTAGAAGAACCTTTGACCCCCCAGGGAGGAAGATTAATGCGGCCAGATCCCTGTTACGCCTTAAACAACAAGATAGGACCCTTGTAGAATATGCTCTAGAGTTTAGATCATTGGCAGCAGAAGTGAAATGGAACGAACAAGCTTTTATGGATGTTTTCTTGAATGGGTTGTCTGATGAAATTTTAGATGAAATTGCCACAAGAGAACTTCCGGAAAATTTAGAGGATTTAATATCCTTCATTTCCAGAATAGATGAACGCATGAGACAGAGGCAGAACACTCGGGAAAGAGTTACTAGACTTCCTGTAAGACTCGCTCCCTCATTTCAGAACCCTGACTCCTATAATCCTACTCCACCAGAACCTATGCAAATAGGTAATACTCGCTTATCTGAGGCTGAGAGACAGTACAGGAGAAGGGAGGGTCTCTGTTTATACTGCGGGCTGAGAGGTCACTTACGTCTTAGTTGCCCTAATCGTCCGGGAAACGCTCGCACCTAAGTTCCCTTAGAGGACGGGCCTTGGGTGTTTCATTACTGTCCTCTATGCATAATAAAAAAGACCATAGGCTTCTGATTCCTGTCTCTCTAGCTTGGGAAAAGGGGTTTATTGCTACGATGGCATTATTAGATTCTGGAGCAGCAGAAAGCTTTATAGACCAAACTTTCGCTAATAAGCATTGTATCCCATTCCAATTGAGAGATACACCCTTGGCCGTTGAGGCCATAGATGGTAGACCTTTATCTGAACCAGTAATATTCCATGAGACCGAACCCGTTAAGCTTACTGTTGGTATTTTCCACGAAGAGTTGATTTCCCTTCTGTTAATTTCCTCCCCGGCAGTCCCAGTGGTTCTAGGATATTCTTGGCTCAAGAGACACAACCCTCAGATTGACTGGGAGGGTGGAGAAATCGTTTCTTGGGGTATGGGTTGTAGGAAAGAATGTCTGCAGAGAGTTACTTCTGTTTGCCCCGTAAACTCTTATGCTAACACTTCTCAATCCACAGACGTTCAGATACCATTACAATATCTAGACCTCAAATCTGTATTTGACAAGGGTAAGGCGGATACTTTACCTCCCCACCGGTCTTATGACTGTTCTATTAAACTTTTCCCTGGTACTATGCCTCCCAGGGGTACGGTATACCCTCTATCCACCAAGGAAAACTTAGTTTTAGAGGAATATATCAAGGAGAATTTAGACAAGGGATTTATTAGAAAGTCTTCTTCTCCGGCGGGGGCGGGTTTCTTTTTTGTAGAAAAGAAAGACGGTACCTTACGTCCTTGTATAGACTATCGGGGATTGAACAAAATTACTATCAGAAATGCTTACCCTATTCCTTTGATTACTGAACTCTTTGACAGACTAAAGGGCTCGAGTATTTTTACTAAACTTGACTTAAGAGGAGCATATAACTTAGTGCGAATTAAACAAGGAGATGAATGGATGACAGCATTTAATACCCGTTACGGGCATTATGAGTATACCGTAATGCCGTTTGGGCTTTGTAACGCCCCGGCCGCCTTCCAAGACTTGATCAATGAAGTTCTTAGAGAATTCCAACATGAATGTGTAATTGTATATTTGGATGATATATTAATCCATTCTAGAGACATTAATTCACATCATAGACAAGTCAGAAAGGTATTACAGAAACTTTTACAACATGGATTGTATTGTAAATTGAAAAAATGTAGCTTTGACCAGTCTCAGGTAACTTTCTTAGGTTACGTAATTTCCAAAGACGGGTTTATGATGGACCCGACCAAACTAAAATCGATTTTAGATTGGCCTTTACCTAAGGGACTCAAAGCCATACAAAGATTTCTTGGATTTTCTAATTATTACAGACGCTTTATTAAAGGGTACTCCTCTGTTATCGCTCCTATCACTAATATGACCAAACAAGGAGCCGATACCAAAACCTGGTCTACTGAGGCTTTATCTGCTTTCGAAACGCTCAAACAGTCTTTTGCCTCAGCACCTGTATTAGTTCATCCTGATACCTCTCTACCCTTTTTACTTGAAGTTGATGCGTCTGAAACAGGGATAGGCGCAGTGTTATCCCAAAGACAAAGTTTAGATAAGCCGCTGCACCCTTGCGGTTTTTTTTTCCAAGAAACTGTCACACACTGAAAGGAGATATGACATTGGTGATAGAGAACTTTTAGCTATCATTATGGCATTAAAGGAATGGAGACATTTGTTAGAGGGCACCGTCCTCCCAGTTACTATCTTGACTGACCACAAAAATTTATCGTATATGGGGGAGGCCAAAAGATTATCTGCCAGGCAGGCACGTTGGTCTATGTTCCTTACACACTTTAATTATGTGCTTACTTACAGGCCTGGTTCTAAGAACACTAAGGCAGACGCTTTGTCACGTCAGCACGAACCTACCACCTCTACAGAGGATACTTTGTTCCCTATTATTCCTGAAGTCAATATTATCGCCAACACCAATGTCAAAATACACTCTCCATTGCTCGCTGATATTCAGAACGAACAATCTCTTGCTCCCGAACGTACTCCTGTGGGCCGCTTGTTCGTGTCTCCCAAATTCCAAGTGGACATTATTCGCTGTTTCCACGATAGCAAGATCGCTGGTCACCCCGGCATCCACAAAACTTACTGCCTGATCTCCAAAGACTTCTGGTGGCCCGGTTTACGTAGGGATGTGGAAGACTTTGTCAAGGCTTGCAATG